CTCTTGAATGGAAATTCCATATGAATGCCAAAACTATGTGTTTGAAATGCTATCAAATCAATGGAGACCTATGAGGTCATAAATTACTTATTTTATGGGCTATTGGTATCTGCAGCCTTGAGTCTCATCTCTATCGTCATAGAAGCAGTTGTGCTGAATTGTTAATGATATATGAGAAATAACTTCATAGTCAGTAAGGTATTTCTGCTTCTAAGCTCTCAAAACAGAAGCAACTTTGCTTTAGCTGCTTATCCATTATCCATTCTTACCTCTAGAAATGTATGAGTCTTCTGGTTGGGAAATGGCAGCTGCCTGTGGCCTAGGTGGTGGTAGTGGAGCTCTATGCACAATAAAAGACTTTTTTTGTTCTTTGGTTCACTTCATCAGCGGGTTCAAAAGGTAACTCCATATATTCACTTTCATGGGAGGTAAGACTATATGGATCTTCTTCATTGCTTTCATCCATAGTTTCATCCCAAATACAATGATCACTAATGCTGTCGTGGCTTCTCACTTCTGCAACAAATAAATATAGATATATTAGAAAAGCACGTATTAAGGATAGACTTGCACAGGGGGTCCATGAAACCTGAGCAGTAAAATAGAAGATCTGGACTTATAACGGCATATATCAAGAACGTCAATGAGCTATGAATTCATTTTTGGAGAAGGACTCCAAACTTTGAACATCTCCTGGAGCATTAATAAATCCAGTATTAAAAATTAGAAGAAATGTGGCACACCAAAACAGGTAAATAAGAAATAAGATAAAAAAGCAATGAAAAGGTCAGATGTACATCTAAAGATGCTGCAGAGATCATCAACTGATATGGGAGAAAGTGAGCCGGCTCACCCTCTGACGATGTGCGTGGCACGTAACGCGCAAGGAGGCGCCTGCTCGCGCCGTTGACGTCACGCCGTCGGAGCATCGTGGAGCTCCGGCGGCCATTTCCTTCTAGAACGGTTAGTGTTTTATTGTCATCTGCCGTTCCTATTGCTATCTGTTGGATGCATCCTTTGTATTTTCAAAAAAATTTGCTTTATCCAAACGTTATCACACCATGGGCATTTTTTTGCTTTGACCCCGCATGGGGAGAACCCCTTTTTCAGAAGCTGTGTTACTCCGATTCCATCCAGAGTGGGAGGTTTCTATTTGCTGCAAAAGCAACACCCACACATCCCTTAAGGGGAACTCTGTGTCGGAGCCTTAATTGCTGTGACCCTGGACCTGTCTGATCTAAAGAGGGATACTCTTCCAAGGGCAGAACCAGATGTACACTTCCAGTGACACCAGGGAATAACTATTATACACTGCACTGTATCAAGTGCGGTTCCGGTAAGTGGGCATTTCTTACATTCCGTATTGAGGAACATCCACTGATCGGGAATAACTAAGGACTATTGATTTAAGCGCTGTACTATTTCTTTCATATTATTTATTGAGGTTTTATTGGTTGCCTTGAGTGTACAGCTGCTGAACTGATTAGCGCTCACTTTTTTACTTTATTTACCTATTTTACAAGTATAGCCTGTTGCCCTCTCACAGGTCTTCTACATCTTGACCCCATATCTGGCACACTTGCTGGGGAGAAATTATTTGAATGCAAGGCAGCCAGAAAAATTAATAAGCGACTCATCAACGCAGGTGTTTTGCTGGGGAGTATAGACATTTGCAAATTTTTGGTTAAGGTGATTTACGAGGGGCTGAATTTGCTGAATTTTGAGGAGCCGGTCAAATTCAGGCCCACCTCGAGAATGACAGAGTGTGTTGTCGTTGAAATGCATAAAATACATTATACTCTGATATCTATGCCTGGCCATGGCAGCAGAGAACACGGGCATATGGTGAATCGGGTCTGTGGACCAATACAACTGCAATTAATTTTTTTTAGTAATGTCCTTGTTGAGGGTTAGGCCCAAAAAAAATTTAAATTCAGAAACTGTAATGGGTTTCCATGCAAATGCTCTGGCAAGGTTTGAATTTGGGTTGGCGGTAATAAACTGTTGTGCATATAAATTGCTTTGATCCACAATCAATGCATGTAGATCTTCCGAGAAAAACAGCTCCAAAAATCAAGGGGAGTAGTTAAATTAGCTGTTTCCACCTGAATTCCGGGTTAGGCAGTGAATGGGGGAAGTACGGGTGCTGCAGAATTTGTGGGCTACCAATCGGAATTTGCAAGCACATCCAGAAGGATACTACGGGCTCTACAGGCCTGTGTGCGAATGCTTGGTGGCTGCAGAACACTACTTGCGATCGCCACCGCACCAGCTTGTACTGCACTTATGGGACTCGCCACGTCACCAAGTGATACTGCAGTGATGTCACCAAAATGTAGAGCGGCACTAGTACTGTTACTCTGCTGCATATGAGAGTCATCAAAATTTACCGACAAGTGCTAGCAGAGATCAGGCCTGATTCTGCGAACACTGCGGTTTTGTGTGCAATGTATCAAGTGACAGTGACCTGCTGACACTGCATTTGTTGGGGGAGAAGGGGGGGGAGCGTAGGGGCTAAACGCAGTTGCTGGTAGGTGCCAGGGCTGATCCCGCTAACGCTGCGTTTTTGGGAACACTATACTAATGTGAACGCTGGTATGGTGCTGATATGATCAAAGATATTGATCTGTTCAGACACTATACTAGCAGTGCAGGTTTATTGTGTATGAGCGTGTTCCTGGCAATCAAGGGGTTAAATGTGAATACTGGTGTACTGATGGGCAATCTGGCACTATCTGGGAGGGCCGTGAAAACCACGGGAGTGCGAATCATCTATATATATATACATGATTTTGTGCACCCGTGCAGCCCTGTAGCAGTATTTCTGCTACAGGGCAGTCAGGAAGCAGTTAAAGAAGTAGTTTGCGTTACGGCGCTGCGTTACTTTAACTGACTTAATCGTGTGGTCATGCAATGCTGCACCCAAATTAAATTTACGTTCTTTTTTCCCCACAAATTGAGCTTTCTTTTGGTGGTAACTGATCACCTGTGCATTTTTTTTTTTTTTTTGCGCTATAAAAAAAGACCAACAGTTTTGAAAAAAAAACAATATTTTGGACTTTTTGCTATTAAACATGTCCAGTAAAAAAATTAAACAAATCAAATTTGGTCATAAATTTTGGCCAAAATGTATTCTGCTCCATGTCTTTGCTAAAAAAAAAAAACCCAATACGTGTAAATTAATTGGTTTATGTGAACGTTATACCGTTTACAAATGGTGGTATGGATACTGTAAATTTTTTTATACTAATAATGGAGACGATCAGCAACTTATGATGGCGATCAGCGACTTATAGAGGAACAGCAGGACTGCATTCTGACACTGGGGGGAACTGACTTGGTGTCACTGACATCCCCAGTAACACCAATACAGTGATCAGTGCTAAAAAAAAGCATTGACGCTGTACTAATGGCACTGGGTAGGAATGGGTTAACATGAGGGGCAATCAAAGGGTTAACTGTGTGATGGGAGTGTTTTACTAGGAGGTGGGGGGTGTTCTTCACTGTAAGCACACTGCTCTGGATGGCTGCTGTGCTCAGCCATCCAGAGCAATGTGCCCAAACCAACAGGGAGGAGGACTGTTGGTAAACAAAGCAGCCCTCCTCCCTGACGGTGATTGCCGGTAATCACTGTGCGCCGGCGGGTAATCACCGTGTGGGACCCAGTGATTGACACCCGCAGCTTGCACGTGCCCCCTACCCGGAAATACAAAATGACATTTATATACATGATTTTGCACACAGGGGCTGCCCTGTAGCAGTATATCTGCTACAGGGCGGTCCTTAAGTGGTTAAAGGGCCAGAACTAATGAAGTAGCTACTAAGGATTGGCAGTGGATAAGTAGAATTTGGTTTCATCCCTAAGCGTGCACCTATTTGTTAAGTCAAGGAAGAAGGTGAGTGCATGGTGCACCTACACGGTGATGGGAAACACCACAATATAGTTGGCACGGTGGAGTGATGCATATATGTTCACTATAATTTGGAGTTACATATAAGTGTTTAATGTGAGTGGATACTGTAACACGTTTAATTTTTGGTTAGATAAAACGGTGTTACACTATGGTATGTTTGTTTTATTTTGCATGGATCTGAAGTTTAAAGAAGCATAATATCTGGAAGGGACACATCACGGAACAGAAATTTGGAGAACCATTTTCCTTATAAAGCGAGTTTTTGGCCTGTTATAATCTATAGGTCAGTGGTCAAGGTGAGCAGGGAGTGGGGTCTCAAGTCAAGCACGGTGTTGATTATTGCTGGATGATAACACAACATATACTGGATTGGATGTTTATTATTGGAAAAAAAAATTTCTTGCACTGTAACTTTGTGTTTCTAAAGCTTTTGGTTCTATGTATGATGAGATAGCGCACCACATTTTTTTCATTTATGGTAGAGACTTTAATTCAAAAATCTTGCAGCTGTAATTGCTGTCAAATGTGTCTGTACACGGTACAATTAACGTTTGTGTAAAAAACATTTTCATCTAAAAAAGTGTTATGTATCTTTTGGAAAAATATTGTGCTTGTGCACATTTAACAGCCTCCCGCCCACCATATATGGTAATGACGGCGCAAGGCGATTCTCTCGTTCTGGGAGGACGTCATATGATGTCCTCCCACTCTAACCGAACTCTCTCCGGGAGCACACAGTGCGGCGATTAGTGGTGCCCTGTGTCCATTGGACACAGTGGATCACCAATCAACGGAAAGAGATGAAGATGTCGGCTCGGTCATGTGATCAGCTGTGTCCAATCAGAGCTGATTGCATGTAAATAGGGAAATGCCGGTTATGCCGGCATTTCTCTCCTCATGAGCTGTCACGCTGACAGTTCGTGAGGAGTGGAGAGCCAGTAATCGGCATTCCTCGCAGGGGACATGTACACTGATCATCAGGGCACTGATGATCAGTGTGCCCTGAAGATCAGTGTAGCCCCAGCAGTGCCATCTGTCAGCGCACATCAATGCCAGCTGTCAGTGCTCATCAATGCCACCTGCCAGTGCCCATCAGTGCCACATCAATGCCACATATCAGTGCCTATCAGTGCACATCAATGCCGCATATCAGTGCCCATCTGAGCTGCCTTTCAGTGCCACCTATCAGTGCCAGTCAGTGCCGCCTATCAGTGCCACCTATCAGTGCCATATATATGAGTGCTGCCTTTCAGTGCCCATCAGTGCCACCTACTAGTGCCTCCTCATCAGTACCAATTAGTGCCACCTATCAGTGCCCATCAGTGCAGCCTATCAGTGTCCATCACTGCAGCCTCATTAGCACACATCAGTGAAGGAGAAAAATCACTTATTTACAAAATTGTATAACAAAAATTTTCAGTTGGTTTTGGTTTGTTTAGCAAAAAAAAAAACCCAGAGGTAATTAAAAACCGCCAAAAGAAAGCTCTATCTGTCTCAAAAAATTATAAAAATTTCATATGGGTACAGTGCTGCATGACTGCGCAATTGTCATTCAAAGTACGACAGCGCTGAAAGCTGAAAACTGGCTTGGGCAGGAAGGGGGTATAAGTGCCTGGTAGGCAAGTGGTTAAACATGCAGTTTTAAGGGTAACCTTTTAATATATTAAATTCAGTTACTTTTTTTTATCCACATTTGTGCATTAGTTCTAGATTCAATTTTCTTTAAATTGTCACTGATTGGTGGAAAACGGGGACAATTCTAAGGGTAAACAGAATATACCAAATTTTTGGCCATATTGAAGGGACTCGTATAGTGAGATATCTACAATTGAAATTCCATGACAGTACACCACTATAGCCATTAAGAGGGGTTCATATTGTCTCTGATGGGTTGAAAGGAGGGGGCAATACTAAAGAAAAAAAAATTCTGATTGCTCTTTTATAGAGAATCAATTGAAATATCTGAGTTCCTGACTCACCACTATAGCCATTCAGAGGGGGCTCCTACATTATTCCAATTTATAATTAAACGGTTCAAAAGGTAACTCCATACATTCATTTTCATGAGAGGTAAGATTGATGCAATTTTCAGGGCCATTGCAAAAATATCTATCCCACTTAACATACCCTGTACAAAACCACCCTCAGCACTTTCCTCTTTTACCCTTGCTTCTACTGAAGAGGTCGCTAAAGTTTTCTTAGAAGCCCACCTTACCAACTGTCCGCTCACCCCCATACTTTAAAAAGCCCTTACTGGATCCTGCCAACTTTAACAACTTAAGACGCATCTCCTTGCTTACTTCAAAACTTTTAGAAAGCTTAGTCTACAACTATCTTCATTCCTATCTCACTGACAAAGACCTTCTTGAACTCTTATAGTTTGGATTTCTCTTACTACATTTCACTGAAACTGACCTACTAAAACTCAATAAATGATTTAGTAACTGCTAAAACAAATGGCCACTGCTCCATACTCATACTACTAGACCTCTCTGCAGCCTTTGATATTGTTGACCATACCCTCCTCCATAAAAAACTCCACTCTTTTCGTCTTCAAGACTCTTCTCTCTCCTGTGTTCCCCTGCTACCTATCACAATGCTCCTTCAGTGCTACCTATAACTCTGTCTCCATCTCTCCACTTCCTCTTTCTGTAGGGGTCCCACAAGGTTCTTTCCTTGGACCCCTCTTCTTCTCCTTCTACACCTCCTCCCTTGGTCACTTGATAAACTCCCACAGCTGCCAGTACCATCTCTATGCAGCACAGAACAAACTATTAATTCTCTAGTGGGACTTTAAAGGCATTTATACAGATTCACAACATGTATAAAAAATATTTGGTGGTGATTTTATTAAAGTACAAAAATTAGATAAAAACAAATACAAAACAATGTGTCACAGAAGCAATATAACATAGCTGTCATGTACATAATCATATAGTTGGTGTGCCTCCATTTACCCATTGCATTTCAGAGACCTGTAGCTCTTTCCTCGGTGGTATTAAAAATTTCACATCTCTACAATGTAATTAGAGCTGTTCTAATCAGAATATCAGAAACATTCCCTAGTTCTCATGGCAAGTGAACAAAGGTGAAATGTCATCTAATTAAGAGCCGAATAAGCAATGCACTAATAGCTTACAATTAGAGATGAGCGAAGTATTCAAAAATTCGATTCGACTGAGTCGGCGAATTCGTGGACAATATTCGATTCGAGTCGAATATATTCGCTGGGAATTTAACTTAAAAAAGGGTGTTTCTAGGCTTCAGAGAGACTTAATATTAGTGCAGAACACTGTACCTTTAATTTAAATGCCCTTGGAGTCTGCTGGGGAAGAGAAATAATACTGTCAGTCAGTATGACATGCAGATGAGTGCCGTCGATCTTAGAATCACCGCACACTTCACTCATTTGGCCAGTCACGGGGCCAAAACCAGTGTTTGGAGCCACAGTGTGGCGGTGGGAGGCAGCAGCAATGGGAGGCCATACAGCAACCTATGACAAAATGGAAACCAGCAGGAGTGTGAGGAGACCTCAAAGTGGCACATGGCAGAGTGGGAGCAATGGGAGGCGGTACAGGGACCCATGTCACACTGTGGACCCAGCAGCAGCGTGACGAGGCGGTACGGGGGCCCATGGCAGATTTGGGGGCCTGGCAGCACCTATGGGAGGCCTGTAATCTGCCAGCAACCTATGACAAAATGGAAAACAGCAGGAGTGTGAGGAGACCTCAAAGTGGCACATGGCAGAGTGGGAGCAATGGGGGGGGCGGTACAGGGACCCATGTCACACTGTGGACCCAGCAGCAGCGTGACCAGGCGGTACGGGGGCCCATGGCAGATTACAGGCCTTGGCAGCAGCAATGGGAGGCCCGTAATCTGTCAGCACCCTATGGCAAAAATGGAACACACCAGCAGTGTGTGAGGAGACCTGAAAGTGGCACATGGCAGAGTGTGGCGATGGAGACAGCAAGCAATGGGAGGCCGTACAGGGACCCATGAGAGACTCTGGACCTGGCAGCTGCAAAATGAGGAGGCGGTATAGGGGCCCATGGCAGATTAGGGGCCTGGCAGCAGCTATGGGAGGCCCGTAATCTGCCAGCACCCTATGTCAAAAAATTGAAACACACCAGCAGTGTGAGGAGACCTGAAAGTGGCACATGGCAGAGTGTGGCGATGGAGACAGCAGCAATGGGAGGCCGTACAGGGACCCATGAGAGACTCTGGACTTGGCAGCAGCATGAGGAGGCGGTATAGGGGCCCATGGCAGATTAGGGGCCTGGCAGCAGCTATGGGAGGCCTGTAATCTGCCAGCACCCTATGACAAAAAATGGAACACACCAGCAGTGTGAGGAGACCTGATAAGTGGCACATGTTTGGGGCATGATTCATGGCGGATTTAGTCAGTTGTGTCAGGAACTGGTGGTTTGAAATCCAGACCTAATCCACGCCTGATTCATTTTCACAAACGTGAGTCTCTCCACACTTTGGGTGGACAGTCGTGTCCTCCGCGGAGTTGCAATACCTCCTGCCGCACTCAAACAAACACGCGCTCCGATGCCACGCTACTGGCCGGGCATGACAGCCTTTCAAGGCAAATTCAGCTAGTTGGGGCCAAAGGTCAAGTTTCGTTGCCCAGTAGTCAAGGGGATTGTCTACCTCGGTTGGCAGGGTGCTGTCCAAGTAGGCCCTAAACCTGTTGTTTTTGAGGTCCTGCTCCAGGTCCACCTGATGCTGCTGCTGCTGCTGCTGCGGCTGGTTATTAGTTTCCTCACTGCGCTGGTGAAGAAAGCTACTACTCATCATCGACTGCAGACTGAGGCAGCCCGCTGCTGGTGGAGCTGCCCACTGCTCCTACCACCCCACCCCTCCCCTGCTGCCATGGCAGCGTAACGCGAGCGCACAGGGCACAGGGTCCGAGGATTTGGCGTGGGGGGGGAAAGGAAAAGGGGTTGACAACAATAGAGGTTTTTAAGGTTTCGTTAAAATTTTTTTCCTCCCCCGAAAAGGGGAAAAACC